TAAGCAGGGTGACAATATACAGCCTTGACGTACTCCTTTCCTGATTTGGAACCAGTCTGTTGTTCTATTTCCAGTTCTAACTGTTGCTTCCTGACCCGCATACAGATTTCTCAAGAGGCAGGTATGGTGGTCTGGTATTCCCATCTCTTTCAGAATTTTCCAGCTTATGGTGATCCACACAGTCAAAGGCTTTAGCATAGTCAATAAAGCAGAAGTAGATATTTTTCTGGAGTTCTCTTGCTTTTTCAATGATCCAATGGATGTTGGCAATTTGATCTCTGGTTCCTCTGCCTTTTCTAAATCCAGCTTGAACATCTGGAAGTTCATGGTTCTTATACTGTTGAAGCCTGGCTTGGAGAATTTTGAGCATTATTTTACTAGTATGTGAGATGAGTACAATTGTACGGTAGTTTGAGCATTCTTTGGCATTGCCTTCCTTTGGGATTGGAATGAAAACTGACCTTTTCCAGTCCTGTGGCCACTGCTGAGTTTTCCAAATTTGCTGGCATATTGAGTGCAGCACTTTCACAGCATCGTCTTTTAGGATTTGAAATAGCTCAACTGGAATTCCATCACTTCCCCTAGCTTTGTTCATATTGATGCTTCCTAAGGCCCACTTGACTTCGTAGTCCAGGATGTCTGGCTCTAGGTGGGTGATCACACCATCGTGATTACCTGGATCATGAAGATCTTTTTTGTATAGTCCTTCTGTGTATTCTTGCCACCTCTTCTTAATATCTTCTGCTTCTGTTAGGTCCATACAATTTCTGTCTTTTATTGAGCCCATCTTTGCATGAAATGTTCCCTTAGTATCTCTAATTTTCTTGAAGAGATCTCTAGTCTTTCCCATTCTATTGTTTTCCTCTATTTCTTTGCATTGCTCACTGAGGAAGGCTTTCTTATCTCTCCTTGCTATTCTTTGGAACTCTGCATTCAAATGGGTACATCTTTCCTTTTCTCCTTTCCCTTTGGCTTCTTTTCTATTCACAGCTATTTGTAAGGCCTCCTCAGACAATCATTTTGCCTTTTTGCATTTCTTTTCCTTGGGGATGGTCTTGGTCCCTGCCTCTGTACAATGTTACGAACCTCTGTTCATAGTTTTTCAGGCACCCTGTCTAGCAGTTCTAATCTCTTGAATCTAGTTGTTACTTCTACTGTATAGTCATAAGGGACTTGATTTAGGTAATACCTGAATCGTCAAGTGGTTTCCCCCTACTTTCTTCAATTTAACTTTGAATTTGTCTATAAGGAGTTCATGGTCTGTGCCACAGTCAGCTCCTCGTCTTGTTTTTGCTGGTTGTATAGAACTTCTGCATCTTTGGCTGCAGAGAATATAATCAGTCTGATTTCATTATTGACCAGCTGGTGATGTCCATGTGTAGAGTCTTCTCTTGTGCTGTTGGAAGACGGTATTTTCTATGACCAGTGTGTTCTCTTGACAGAACTCTGTTAGACTTTGCCCTGCTTAATTTTGTACTCCAAGGCCAAATTTGCCTGTTACTCCAGGTATTTCTTGACTCCATTTACTAGACTCCCTTTACTAGAATACTTCTGTATTCTAGTACCTGATAATGAAAAGGACATCTTTTTTGGGTGTTAGCTCTAGAAGATCTTGTAGGTCTTCATAGGACTGTTCAGTTTCAGCTTCTTCAGCATTATTGGTCAGGGCATAAACTTGGATTAATGTGATATTGAATAGTTTGCCTTGGAAACAAACAGAGATCATTCTGTAATATGCAGAGTACATCATATGAAATGCTGGGCTGGATGAAGCACAAGGTGGAATCAAGATTGCTGGGAGAAATATCAATAACCTCAGATATGCAGATGACACCACCCTTACGGCAGAAAGCTAAGAGGAACTAAAGAGCCTCTTGATGAAAATGAAAGAGGAGAGTGAAAAAATTGGCTTAAAACTCAGTCTTCAAAAATGAAGGTCATGGCATCTGGTCCCATCACTTCATGGCAAATAGATGGGGAAACAATTTAAACAGTGCCAGATTTTATTTTCTCAGGTGCCAAAATCACTGCAGATGGTGGCTACAGTCATGAAATTAAATGATGCTTGCTCCTTGGAAAGAAAGCTATGGCAAACCTAGACAGCATTTTAAAAAGCAGAGACCTTACTTTACTGACAAAGGCCCATCTAGTCAAAGCTATGGTTTTTCCGTAGTCATGTATGGATGTGAGAGTTGAACCAAAAGAAACCTGAACACTGAAGAATTGATGCTTTTGAACTATGGTGTTGGAGAAGACTCTTGAGAGTCCCTTGGATTGCAAGGAGACCAAACCAGTCCATCCTAAAGGAAATCAGTCCTGAATATTCATTGGAAGGACTGATGCTGGAGTTGAAGCTCCAGTACTTTGGCCACCTGATGTAAAGAACTGACTCTTTAGAAAAGACCCTGTTGCTGCAAAAGATTGAAGGCAGGAGGAGAAGGGGTGACAACAGAAGATGAGATGGTTGGATGGCATCAGCAACTCAAAGGACATGAGTTTGAGCAAGCTCCAGGAGTAGGTGATGGGCAGGGAAGCCTGGTGTGTTGTAGTCCATGGGGTTTCAAAGAGTCGGACATGACTAAATATCTGAACTGAACAATAACCACAGGGGACCTAGAGAGACTATACAAATGTCAAACAAAATAGACTTTAAGGCAAAGAAAAAGAAATGGATCTAGTGACAACAAAGGACATTTTATAAAAATAAAATCATCCATTCATCAGGAAGCTCCACAGTTATAATCATATGTGTACCTAACAACCGAGTCTTAAAATACAAGAAGCAGATAACTGACAGAATTAAAGAGAAATAACAATAATAGCTGCAAAATTCAATATCCCACTCTCAATGGATAGATCTAAATAGAAAATCAGTGAATATATATATATGACTAGAACAATATAAACAAACTGTAAAACACTCTACCTGACAACAATGTAGTGTATACTCTTTTCAACAACACATGGAATGCTTTACAGAATAGGTCATATGCTAGGCTATAAAACAAGTCCCAGTACATTTTAAAGGATTAAAATAATACAAAGTATGTTCCAAATTGCAGTATGCTAGATAGATGGATAGATAAAATATTTGGTTCTGTTTTCAGAGTTGAACCCTGACTGATAAAGGTTCTTAACGCAACACTAAAACCATGATCCATATAAGAAAAAAAAAAAGATAAACTGATGGAACTTCATCAAAATTAAACACTTTTGGGTTTCAAAGCACCATTAAGAAAATGAAAAGACAAGCCACAGACTGGGAGAAAATATTTGCAAATTATTTTTCTGAAAAAGGACTTGTATCCAGAATATCTAAGGAGCTCTTCAACTCAATAATGAAAATGGGTAAGTATTTGAATAGATATTTCATCAGAGAAGATATAGGAATGAAAGCATGTGAAAAAGTACTCAACATCATTAGTCAGGGAAATGCAAATTAAAGCCACAATGAGAAACCACTTCACACCTATTAGGAAAGCTATAATAAAAAAGACAGAAACTAACACAACATTGTAAAGCAATTATACTAAAAAAAAAAAAAAAAGACAATAACTAGTGTTGTTGAAAATGTGAAGTATGTGGAACCCTAATACATTGCTGATGAAAACTGAAATGGTGTTGTCACTTGGGAAGTCAGCTAATAATTTCTTTAAAAGTCAAATATATGATTACCAGCAATAGATGAATAAATGACATAGAAATTCTCCTCCTAGGTATCTCCAAAAAGAAATAAAAATTTATGTTCATACAAAAACATACATGTGCATTCATAGTGGCATTATTCAAAAAAACGAAAAAGTGGGAGCAATGCAAATGAATTGGTAAATGGATAAACAAGGTTTGGTATATGCAAACAACGGTGTACAATTGGCACTAGAAAGGAAGAAACTATAATACATTCTGTAACACAGCTGAACCTCAAAAACATTATGCTAAATGAAAGAAACCAGACATAAAGGACTATGTGAAATATGATTCCATTTTATGAAATATCCAAGAAACGCAAATTCATTGAGACAAAAAATAGATTATTGATTATCTGGGGCTGAAGGTAAGAATGAGAATTGACTGCAAATGGGCCTGAGGGATCTTTTGTGAATCATAAAATGTTCTAAAGTTAGAGTGTGGGAAACCAGATCTGAAAGAGACATGTGCACCCCAATGTTCATCACAGCACTGTTTATAATAGCCAGGACATGGAAGCAACCTAGATGCCCATCAGCAGACGAATGGATGAGGAAGCTGTGGTACATATACACCATGGAATATTACTCAGCCATTAAAAAGAATTCATTTGAATCAGTTCTAATGAGATGGATGAAACTGGAGCCCATTATACAGAGTGAAGTAAGCCAGAAAGATAAAGACCATTACAGTATACTAACACATATATATGGAATTTAGAAAGATGGTAACAATAACCCTATATGCAAAACAGAAAAAGAGACTCCGATATATAGAACAGACTTGTGGACTCTGGGAGAAGGCGAGGGTGGGATGTTTCAAGAGAACAGCATTGAAACACGTATATTATCTAGGGTGAAACAGATCACCAGCCCAGGTTGGGTGCATGAGACAAGTGCTTGGGCCTGGTGCACTGGGAAGACCCAGAGGGATCGGGTGGAGAGGGAGGTGGGAGGGGGGACCGGGATGGGGAATACATGTAAATCCATGGCTAATTCATTTCAATGTATGACAAAAGCCACTGCAATGATGTAAAGTAATTAGCCTCCAACTAATAAAAATAAATGAAAAAAATAAAAAATAAAAAAAAATAATAAATAAAAAATAAATAAATAAATAAATAAATTCCATCTTAAAAATAAATAAATAAATAAAGTTAGAGTGTGGTGATAGTTGCACAACTCTAAATGTATTAAAAGCCATTGAATTATACAACTATTGTGGGTAAACTTTATGGTATGTAAATTATACCTCAATAAAGCTGGTTTTTAGAAAAAGTAAAATCTATATCCAATGTCTTAGAGCACTGTTACCTGTTTTTTTCTTTTGTTTCTTCTTTTCTTCAAGCAAATATGTACTAATTCTGCTTAGTATCTTGATATTGTTCTCAATGGCTTTGAACGTTTCTGGTAACATCTCCATTTGTGCTAAACAGTGATGGTGTTCTTCAATATCAATTGCAGTAATCTCAGACAAAGTGACATCTTGAAGAGAGTAAAATAAATTACTTTTGTGCAGAAAAATAATTATAACCATATAAGCTTACAATATTGCCTACCTAGTCAATATTGTAGTATTGGGAAATACAGATATCTTATACTTATTTCTATTCTGAGGCTTTTCTCTGTGAAGAAATGGAAAAAGAAAAGACTTGGAATAGAAGACTGAATAGTAAATCTTGGCATGAAAATATGCTTAAAATACAGTTAAAATGTGTCTAATTGGTTTAATTCCCTGATATCAGGGATAAAGATCTAAAATGTGAATATATGCCTTAATACTGGGGATTAAAACTCCAATTAACTCCCTTGGTAAGTTTTCTAGTATTTCATAACCCCTGTTATATGAGATTTCTTGTAACTAAACAAAATTTCTCTTTTTTGTATTCTTAGTTTATTCATTCTTTCACTCAACTAGAGTCTCCTCTGTCATATATTGTTCTAGATGCTGAAGACACAGCATTGAATATAACAAATTCCCTGACTTTATTACTATTTATATTCTAGGGAAAGGAAAGAAACAAAACTTTTTAAAAATATTAATTATTAATTATAAAGTATGCCAGATGATAAGAAAAGCTATAGACAAAAATAAAGAATTATAAAGAATAACAGTCAATGCCAGGGTGTAGAGAATGGGGATGGTCAGAGAACACCTCATTTTAAAGTGAGGTGTAAGCAGAGAATGAACCATGTGGCTACCTGGTAGAAAATGTTCCAGGCAAGGGACTAGGAAGCATTGAGACAGTGGGCAGGAGCATGCTAAGTGAGCAAACTTGTTTTCCTTATTTTATTCTTCCTGAAACAGAGAGCAACTGTTTAACCATCTTAGCCTTTCCTTCTTTAGTCTTCTAATCCTTCAACATTTACTTATAATTCTGTTCTGTAGGTTTTTCATTAACTTTAAATCACTTCTGGAAACTTACTCCATTCTTCCAACCAGGCCAGAATGTAGGCAAGAGTCTTGTTTTTAATTTCAGCAGTCTTAGCACAAGCAGTTATTTTCTCCAGCAAACTTCCTTTCTGTTTCTTATGTTCTATAAAGGATATTTTCCTTCCAGCATGCATATTCTCCTCCATCGTATAGCGATTTATTATACGCTTCACATTTTGCATTATGTCTGTCAGCTGCATATTAAGATGCTATAAGAATAAGAAGGGGGATTATAATAATAAATCCTGTTTGACAATAAGATTTGATCAGCTTTCTTCCTAGAATGTCAGTGATAGTACTATAAAGCTCTCTAATCAAAGGCTTTTTAATTCTAATTTTTCTATAAGTCTAAGATTTTCCTCTTAATTTTTTTTTCTCTGACTTCATCCTAGAATTTCTATGATATAATGAAAAGAATATTTGGTTTGAAACCATATCTGGATTCTAACTCTAGCTTCCTCCTTAAAATGACTTTTAGTGGACTTCCCTGGTGATCCAGTGGTTAAGAATCTGCCTGCCAATGTAGGGGACATGGGTTTGATCCCTGGTCTGGGAATATCCCACATGCCATAGGACAGTAAGCCCATACACCACAACTACTGAAGTTCCCTCTCTGTAGAGCCCATGCTCCACAAGAGAAGCCACCTCAATGAGAAGCCTGAAACTAGAGAATAGCCCTCCTTTTGCTGCAACTAGAGAAAGCCCTCACAGCAACGAAGACCCAACACAGCTGAAAAATAAGTAAAAATTGTTTTTAAAAAGATAACTCTTTAAAAAATTATTTTCTACAATCATGACTCATCTATAAAATAATGGAAATTCTAAGTTCACGATTGGTCTGAAACATGTAGCATGCGTGAAATGCCTTATAGACTGTGGCTGCTATAAACAAACTAATTAAAGGAAGTTACTTTTTAAAAAATTAACCCTTACACCTGGAAAGCAGCTATTGGAATATTCCACAACATGACTTTTATTTCATTATTTCCCCTCCTCAAGAATCTATCAGTAAATTTCTTCTGTTCATCACTTTATCCTAGTAGTTCTCAATGGGGGTAATTACTGCCTCATATATGGCATTTAGAAATTTATGGGACTTCCTGGTGGTACAGTGGATAGGAATCTGCCTCCTTATGCAGGGGACATGGGTTCGATGTTGGGTCCAGGAAGACTCCACATGCAGCAGATCGACTAACCTCATGCACCACAGCTACTGAGCCCCTACTCCAGAGCCCTGGAACTGCAACTACTGAGCCCGGGTTCTACGATCACTGAAGCCCGTGCTCCTAGAGCCGGTGCTCGGCCACAAGAGAAGCCTGAGCGCTGCAACCAAGAGTAGACCCTGCTCACACAATTGGAGAAAGCCCACGTAAAGCAACAAAGACCCAGGGCAGCCAAAAGAAAAAAAAAGAGAGAGGTAAACTTCCCTGGTGGTTCAGTGGTTAAGAATCTGCATTGCAATGCAAGAGACACCAGTGCAATCCCTGGTCCCAGAAGATCACACATGCTGCAGAGCAACTAAACCCTCGAGCCTTCTACTGAGCCACTGCTCTAGAGCCCCCGAGTTGCAATTACAGAACCTATGTGCTGCAACTACTGAAGCCTGTACGCCTGGAGCCCCGGCCCTACAAGAAGAGAAGCCACTGCAATGAGAAGCCCACACACTGCAACAGAGAGTAGAACCCCCATCCCACCACCGCAACTAGAGAAAGCCCATGCACAGCAATGAAGACCCACCATAGCCAAAAAATAAAGATAAATATATAAGCTTAAAAAAAAAAAGGTCATAATGTCTGCCAAAGAAAAGAAGCACTTTCGGTTGTAACAATGAATGGAAGGGAAGACATTGTACTTAGTAAAGGGTGCTAAGTTGTGCCAGCCCACCCTGTGTGCAATGGACAGTACACATATTTAACAATTGGCTCATCCTGCATAAATTTTCACTGTCCAATGGGATATTCACATAGGTTACATAAAATCTGTTTATAATTATCTGAGCCTAGAAACTTACTCTTTTTAAAGTATAAATGAAAAGTAAGTTCTTATCAAGTTTAATTGCTTACTGAAATTTCCAGGAATGCAAATATTATGCAAATCAAAGGAAAATGTTCTTTAGGATTTCTCCAATAAAATTTCACCATTCACCAATAAAATGTTCACCACAGTACTAACCAGCAATGCACTGTTGCTAATAGTATGTAGTGTCACTGCAATAAACCTGCATTTGTTTCAGCCTATATTCATAGCTTTCATATTTATTTTAATTCTGCATAAAGATGCAAGCCTCTGCTACATCTTTGTAATGTCTTCTAGTGAAGTTTGACTTAGAATTTACACATTGAAATGCATGTTATTAAATTTAGCACTTTTATTTACCTTCACATATTAATTTTTTAAAGTATGAGAATAGATATTTTATGTAGGAAGTTCACTTCAGAGGAACAAAGGGAAGTTAAAAATATTTTAAAAGGGCACAGTAAATCTGATAGATGGAGAACAACTGCTCCATCTTTTCCAAATTTATCAATTACTTTCTCAATTTGACTTCAGATAAACCTAACTTCCTCTACACTCCTTACAATAGCAGTGAGATTTGGATTTTGCAAGCCAAATCGCCATGCCAAAAGTGTAATCAAATGTTAGGTGCTAGAATTACTGCAGTCATAAATAGAGAATGCAGTTGCAGTAAGTTAAGTCAGAAATACAGGAGAGCAGAGACAAAGTTTGACAAGCCAAGTGATGAAGAATAACATTACAAACTAACACATAACATGGTGATTAAGGAAAAAGTATTACCAACTTCTCATATATTCTCCCACAGAATGGAAAAGAATTCTTTTCAATTCATTCTTTGTGGTCAGAATTACCCTCATACCAAGATGGATAAAGATATTGCAAAAAGAAAAAAAACCCACTACAGATCAACATCTCTATAAATTTTGTTGCAAAAATCCTCAACAAAATACTAAATAGAATTAGCACCATAATTAATAGAATTATAAATCCCACAATCACGTGGGATTTATTCCAGGGATACAAAAATGGTTCAACATGTGAAAATCAATGAATGAAATACACCAAATTAACAAAATGAAGGGAAAATCATATGATCATCTCAACTGATACAGAAAAAGCATGAGACAAAAGTCAACACCCTTTCATGATGAAAGCTCTTAGCAAAGCAGGTGTAAAGGGGAAATATAATATAATAAATGTCAATATAATAAATGTCATATATGACAAGCCCACAGCTAACATCATACTGAAAGGTGGAAAATCTGAAAGTTATTCCTTTAAGATTAGGAACAAGTAAGGGGTTCCAACTCTCATCTGTTCTATTCAACATATTACTGGAAGTCCTAGCCAGAGTAATTCGGAAGAAAAATAAATTTGAAAAAATCAAAATTGGAAAAGAAAAAAAAATATTTGTTTGTAGATGATATGATCTTATATGTTGAAAACTCTAAAGCTCACACACAAACACACACACACACACACACACCCCATACCTGTTAGGAGAAATAAATAAATTCAGCAAAGTTGCAGGATACAAAATCACACACACACACACACACACACAAAAAAAAAAAAAAAAAAACATGTTTAATTTTCTGGGACTTCCCTGATGGTACAGTAGTTGAGAATCCACCCTGCAATGCAAGGACATGCATTTGATCACTGGTCAGGGAGCTAAGATCCCACATGACACTGAGCAACCTAGCCTATGGCCCGCAATTACTGAGCCTGCACGCTCTGCAGCCCATATGCCACAACTAGAAAGTCCATGCACTACAACAAAAGATTCCACATGGCACAACGAAGATCCTGCAAAACTAAGATTTGATGCAGCCTAATAAATAAATAGATATGTTTAATTTTTATATACTAAAAATGAACTATCAGAAAGAGAAATTAAGAAAATGATCCCATTTACAATTGCATCCAAAAAAATACCTGGCAATAAATTAAATTGAGGTGAAAGACCTATATATTGGAAATGAAAGACGTAAATGAAAGAAGTGAAGAATTAATACTGTTAATTCTCCTAAGAATTAAAATGTTCATACCGCCCAAAGCAGTCTACACATTGAAAGCAATCATTTTCAAAATTCCAATAACATTCTTTATAGAAATAGAAGAAAAAGCCATAAAATTTGTATGGAATCGTAAGAGACTCTGAATAGCTAAAGCAATACTGGGAAAGAAGAACAAAGCTGGAGCTCCTTGATTTCAAACAATAGTACAAAATTATAGAAATTAAAACAATATGATATTGGCATAAACAGACCCACAGATCAATGGAAAATAAACCCATACACACATACGGTAAATTTACAGAAAAGGAGCCAAGAATATACACTGGGGAAGGACAGTCTTTTCAATACATGGTTCTGTAAAAACTGGGCAGCCACATACAGAAGAAAGAAACTGGGGATCGCTATCTTACACCATGCCTAAAAATTAACTCAAAATGGATGAATAACTTGAATGTAAGACCTCAAACTATAAAAATTCCTGAAGAAAACACATAGGCAGTAATCTCCTTGGCATTGCTCTTGGTCATAATTTTTTGGATTTCACACCAATAGCAAAGGTAACAAAAGCAAAAATAAACAAGTAGGACTGCATCAAACTAAAAAGCTTCTTCACAGCAAAGGAAACCATCAACATAATGAAAAAGCAACCTGCCGAGTGGGGGAAAATATTTGCAAGCCATATGTCTGCTAAGGGGGTAATATAAAAAGTACTCGATACAACTCCATAGCAAAAACCCAAACAATCTGATTGAAACATGGACAGAAGATCTACATAGACATTTTTTCCAACAAAGACATATAGATGTTCAATGGGTACATAAAGTAATTACTGTCATTAATCAGCAGGAAAATGCAAATCACAAAATGTACCACACACCTGTTAGAATGACTGTTATCAAAAAGATTGGAAATAATAACACTTGTTAATGTTCGCAAGGATGTGGAGAAAAGGAAATCCTCATGCATTGTTGGTTGGAATGTAAGTTGGTGCAGCCACTATGGGAAAAAAAAGCTGAAGCTCCAATACTTTGGCCACCTGATGCTAAGAGCTGATTCATTGGAGACCCTGATGCCGGGAAAGATTGAAGGCAAAAGAAGGGGGCAGCAGGAGATGAGATGGCTAGATAGCATCACCAACTCAATGGAAATGAATTTGAGAAAACTCTGGGAGA